TAGTAACTGCAGGGTGATGTTCACCATGTACTTATCTGTTTTTACAAAAAAAATCAGGCACCTTACACACTACTAAGAAAACATTTTTTAACAAGTTAGAGTGTTGCCTACATTGTGTCTTCAACCCTGACAGCTTTGCTAATATTTTTTTAGAGCCAGCTAGAAAATCAGGACAAAATAGCTGTTTTCTCTCAGAAAAATCCTCCCCTCTTCTTGGAAATCTTTAATTACAGCTGCTAAAAAATCACGACAGCTTTTCTGTCTCAAAGATGTCTTGAAGAAAACATGCTAATTTAATGAATAACCTGAATTCAATGCATTTCTACATGTTTTAGATTTTCTTCAGTTGTTCCACAGCAAAGTTGTCCTGGTACTTCCTGGAAAACATGAGAAATCTACCTATGCAAATTCAAGGTTTTACACACTGGGGATCCCTGCTGGGGGCTCAGACTTTCCATCTGCTTCCCAGATGGATGCCTGTGTGCACAGGACCAGGATCCACCTGGGTTTCCAGCACTGATTGCTCCTGCATCTTTCCTCCAAGCCAGTGGAAGGCCTTGAGGAGGAAGTGGGAAAAGAGGGACTGATGCATCTCTCCTTTCCAACGCCTAAGCAGCTGGTTTTCAGCCAGTGGTGCTGACAGTCATGTATAGGTTAGCGATGGGGCTACAGTTCCCAGAGAGAGAGAGAGAGACTAGCCTTCAGGGACCTACATTTCCATGCCAGCCCTGCAGAGCAGGTTTGGCCAACGTGCTTACTGTGCAGCCATGATCAACGCAGAGGAGCACCAAAGCATCAGGTGAGAGGGTGAGCCATGGGCTGATTAGGATGGAACATCCCTTTTGGTGGAGAAAAACCAGTTAGTTAGACTACTTGAGCTTCACCATGGAGCTGTGGTCTGTTTCTGCTTCTCCAGTTGCAATATGATGACAGTGCAACTAACTCCCCTTTAAAACACCTCAGGATACACAGTACATTCTATCTGTGTGAGATAGGGGGTCCCTGTTTACTGAATTTAATAAAATAATGCGGTAATCATATTTATTTTGACAACCCTTTGCATTTTTTCCTCCTAACATTATGAATCAGTAGCTGAATAATTCACACTATTTTTACTATTTTGTTAGCACTTTATTCTCACCTTCTAAACAGTTTGGGTTCTGATTGCAGTCTTCTAAAGAATACTTTCAGATTGGGGAAAGGGGTTTGTAAATTGTCCTTTAACTCTTTCCAGCCTGGCTTAAAATGATCCCTTCCTTTATTTCTGAAGAGCTGCATCCTAGTGCAATTCAGAGCTCCCTGTTCTGGTCATGTACTTTCTCTTCACCTCCTTTCAATGCCTGAGAGATTTATTTTTGTTTAGTTTTCTCTCTCCATTCAAATTGAGATTACTATTATTACGATGCATTTAGAGAACAGAATTCCACTCTTTACTCTTTATTTTTGGCTTCTGGCTGATTATGCTTGATAATTACATGTAACCACTTCACTTTGTAATATATTCCCCATATTTCCCTTCCAGCTGACCTAACACTTTCATACAGTAACATACTACAAAGTTCACCAACCCTTTTTATCTAGAGGCATAATTGGGGCTCTGTGTTCCTGAATCTCTGAAGTCCACATCAATCCTTAAGCAAACTTCCTTTCAAATGCAGATAAAGTAGAGTACATTTCTCAACTTGATGAAGAAAGCTCCTTTGCCTCCTTTATTATCTGCTTTATGATATCTGTTTCATAATTTTAAATGGTAAGAAATCCTCATGCTTAATTTTCATGGTGTTTAAAATCTATGTTTAATTAAAAACCATCCCAATCATGTTCGACAGTGGGTGAATCACAGCTGACCTGCCTGCTAACAGAGTGTGAATATAATTCTGTCCTTAAGTTTGTGTAAATCTCTTTTGTGGCAGCTTCTTTTCACTCAACGCTCACTGTGTTTGGCTGTATGAGGTGGCTTGCTTTCCCACTGCAGGTTAAGGTTAGGTAGCAAAGGCACCTTCAGCACAAGCTGAAGGTCTGTCTGGAGTGTGTGCACTGTACGCATGCTGTGCTGCACTGTGCACACAGACGCATGACATCTAAATGAGCATGTGCAGGAGTTTTGGACTGTGATCCTCTGCTGATCTGTCAGCAGTAACACGCACTTGAGGAGACTTATGCCTCTGACAGCCTCTCAGCCATTCCTGTGGCCTGGGAAGCTGACTGAACTTAAACATCAGCTGATAAAAAAAAAAGTAGCTACTTTTTATACAGAGCCCAGGTCACTACTTGGCCCCACCTGTAGGCACACCTAAAAGTATGGGATGTGAGTGTAGGCAACTGCCTGTGCATGACAGCTGCTTAAACAAGCTGCTTAAACTCTGCTGTTGTAAGAGACACGGCTGTGGAGCCTGCTCTTTCAGTTACCTTGAATTAACTACCAACCAGACAATTCGCGCCACAGACTCTCTGTGGTCTAAGGCCCTGATTCAGAAAAGCATTTAAGTGCATGCTTCATTTTCCCTTTCTGTGCAATGTACGTAAGCACATGCTTAGCCTTAAGCACATGCTGAAGTCCTATTGAAATCATTTTGTAAGGGACTGGGATAAACAAATCCCAGCCACTCTACAGACAGAATTTTATTAAATAAAAATGTTGGGTTTATCTCTTAGGTTTCTGTTAATAGGTCTAGGATGTGGCTTTCTACTGAAATGTTGTAGTGAAAGTATAAATTACTTTGAAAGTCTCTGTAAAACATTCCCTTTCTCCTTCCTCATTCCCTATTTTCCATTAGCAATTCACCATAAAGAATGCATTTCCCGGCAATTAAAAAATAAAGCCAAGCAGCATCTTTATCTGCATTGCCTGTATGCCTGCGAGCTGCGTGTTTCAAAAAGTGTTGTCATGTATTTTGCTGCTTTAGAACCAAAAGCAACTAAAAATAGTCACACAGAAGGTACTTAATCAGTCTGGCAGCAAATCTCTGTGCCATGAAAGATTTATTCTTATTCTCTATAGCTTGATCTAGGTATTGTATGAATGCTATCTGGCTTCCATGCCCAGAAAGACATACAACTAAATGGGGGTCCGGCTTACTGCATTCCAGGGCAGAAAAATATTGTTGCTGTGTTTTACACCTGGCTGCTAAGAGTGATGTTTGTTTGGAAAAGCTGCTTAACTGTCTCTGACCGGTGGGCAAACTCACTATTGGAACCCCTAGCGTCAAATCAGGGATTTTTTTTTGAGAGGATGATGAAGAAATATGTCCCATCCTCACTTCTTGCTCTGGTACCTGGAGTGCTGGCTAATTGCAGGTAGTGTTTTCCCCTGCTGTAAAAAAGGAATAATAGTTAAAATAGTTAGGGATTATAACTACTATATATTGCATAAATGCCATATTCTTTGTCAGATAATGCTTTTTGATCTAAATGGTTGGCATGACCTGACAAAAGAAGATGCATTTCATATATTACCAGTATCATTCTCCTCATCAAAACCCACAGTATTCAGAAATACAGTAATGCACATACAGAAGACAAGACAATGATGGGTTTTGGCTCTGGCTATCTTCTTCTGGAGGCAGTTACTTTGCACCACAAAAACTAGGCTCTCCTAGCAAACATGAAGAATGGCACCTACACTTTTTTGGAGTTGGTGGGAGGTTTGCCATTGATTCTGAACCAGAATTTAACCTTAGGGATAGAGATTTGGTTCTCCGGGAGGGAAAAGATGAGTTTAAAAGTAAGAACAGGGTAAAGCTAAAGAAACAATGACTATCTGAGACTGCAAAGAGCTTGAAACAGTTGGTCTGCAGCTTGCCTGTTGCTTTGTGCATGGTATTTTCATGCACACAGCTTCAGAAGGAATGGTCAACATTACAAAGAAATTACAGTAGTCTTTTAAGACCATCTTTGTGCATCCAGTGTACCCAGCCCAGGGGTAGGTCAGGTTCACTAGCTATCAAAAGCAAAAATGCAGATGCATCCCCATTCATCCCCATGGGACAGTGAGCATAACAGTGACTACTAAAGTGGAAATGGTAAAAATACTATTACCGAACGCTCAGAAAAAATGGAGAAATGCATTGTGGAGAAGAGTCTGCATTAAAAGCAGCACCATATTCTGCTACTTAAACAAGCAGATGCTAGTTCATAGAGTGGCCTAACTTTTTCCCCTTCGTTTGACCTCTGTTGCCTTTTTATTTACGGCTTCGACAGATTTTGGCTTCTTCTGTTCAAAGTCCTTAATTAAAACAAATGGGGATGGCGCACGAGGGGAATGTACCATACAACAGCACCATACAACATGGTGGGCAATGGAGAGTTAGTACTCTAACTTTAAAGGTTTTCTTAGCTTAAGCCCTAAAAGTGCTATTTGTGAATTACACATGCCATATTAAAATTATCAGGAAGATCCTCTTACGAATATTTTGAGAGCTATGAAAGTTCATTCTTTTAATTCACACTGGAATAAAAGCTGGCATATTTCTGGCTTTGCTCTGTATTTTTAAGACTGTGATTAATAGCATGTACTTTTGTGAGGTTTTAAATACCAGTCTCCTCAGCAAATACAGCTGATTTTTACAATTAAAGATGGTGATATGTTCTTCAGTGCATTTTTTATATAAATAGATCACATTGCTCATACAAAGCACACTGGACACACAGTTCTGGCACAGGCGTCCTGAAACAAGAATGAGTCAAAATAGTTCCTCAGTCTTAAGTTGACGGACAATAAAGAGACTTGGGAAGAATCACAACATCCAATTTTATATTCACCTCTGGAGAGCAGCAGGCTGGGCAGAGACCGGCAGGCAGAGCAGGGGGCAGGCAGGAGCAGGGAAGCGGAGGCAGG